TTCAGATCGGCAAGATAGGGCCCAATGACTCTTGGTTAAAGTTAGTCGATTAAAATCTACCTACATGGTTAAAAGAATCCAATGTTGACTTTTGGTAGACAAAAGGTTGTGAACTACAATATCCAGCATCAAAATGACAACTTTCACTACAATAAAATTAAGGATCATGTTAGTATGGGGTGAGGGAATGGTTAGCCTTATTATACTTAGTAATAGTAATATTATAGTATAGTAATAGTAATAAAAAAGTTTGCATCTACCTTAATCAGTGATTTAATGCACCGCCTGACAAATTCCCTAAGTGACCCAAATCAAACAAACCCAAGATCAACAGGTGCATGATGGGTAATCTCTGTTACATGTCGATGATTCTGTAGGTCGGAATATTTTATTTATGTAGCTTAATAAGTAAGATATAATGCCCAATAATGTGTCCATTATCAGGAATTAATGGATGACGTGGAGACCAGAACCGCCTGATGCACGTCCATTAACACTCTAGTGCTCTTGTAAACCCTGGTAGTTACACTAACAACATGATTTTGTGTGTATGTGTGTGCGTGTGTGTGTGTGCGTGTGCATGAGCAGAGAAGCAGTGTGTGTTGTTTTGCAGCCCGGTGGGTCGAGATATCCCAGTCCTGATGGCTGACAGAGTGATGGATGGGACGCCCTGTGGACCATACGAGGCTGACCTGTGTGTTAATGGGAGGTGTCAGGTACACACACATACTCACACACACACATGTGCATACTCCTTCAAAACAGTGGTGAAGCCATGCAATTTCCAAATGGGGTGGTCAGGATAGGACCAGTGGTAATTTTGGGATTGCACAGAAATGACTATTATATGAAAAATAAAAAGGCATAAGGGGGATATTTTAGGCACATACAACACATAATTACATTATTTGGAATTCAGGCAGTGATCAAAGAATATTCAGTGTAATCAAAAAAAAAACTTACTCCATAAGTTTGCAAAAAGATATGCTATGTCTGCAACTTCCTGTCAAGGTAGCAATAATAAATATGCAATGTCTGGTTAGATTTTCAAAATAAAGCTTGCGTGGTAAAGGTTGGAGCTTGGTTAGATTTAGGCAGAAAAAGTACTCATCATCTTAACTCTAGCTTCAAGGTTCCTCTTTATATATTAGATCAGGAGTTGGACTTTTAGGATGGGTCAAATGCAGAGAATTAATTTCCCTATAGTAATTAATGAAGGATAACATAACTTATATTGCAGTGGGTCAATGGTAATTACAAATAGATTGATATGAATGATATCAGAAGCCATTATAATGTAGCCAATGTCATTGTATCAGGATGACGTGGTGGTCAATAAATAAAAACTCAGAAGTTTAGTCTTTTCCACAGCCAAGGGGGAGAGAAGGGGGAGATTTTGGCACTGCTGACATCGCTGAAAAAAAATCAATCGGTCATGAAATAAACAAATAAATACAGTGCAGAGCTGTGAAGGAGAATGTCTCTGCAGGGATCAATAGAGTGCCTCATTCATTAGCAGTTAGCAGTGGTGGAGTGAATCCACAGCCTCCTCCCCTGGGGAGGGTTGAGGAGTTTATTTGGATCTGGTGTCCCGACTACAGTCAGCCTTTTGTGTTTATTTGCAAATGTTGGATGCTAGTACATTTGGGAGGAATTCCCCCTCCTTCTGGGAGAGAGACAGAGGGAGAGAGAGAGTGAGAGGTCCAGAGAGTCGAATATGGATGCAATTATCATGACGCACATGTGCTCACAAAATACTTACTTCTTACACATCAGCAATGACTCATGTATCCTTAACTGTGCAAGATCAGTTAGAATGAGTACAGCTGAAGCACACATTGCTTATGTGTGTTTTTTCTCTTTCTATGTGTATATATATATATATATGTCATTTCACATATGAAAAAAAAAGTGCCATTGTGCTGTCCATCCTATTTAGACTGGGCTAGTACACACATAGTTCTTAGGTTTAGGATCCATGTTTGAATGAGCATTTTGCTAGCATGAGCTTTCAGATGTACACAGCTAGCTCATTGATGTAGATTAATTAGCTAACTTAAGATGTGACTATATGTTGCTTTTATCTTTTAACCACACAAAATGTGGTTGTATTTTCAACA